GTTTTGGTATAAAGAAAATGATCCAGGAATTTCTAGGACTGAGAAAAGCCTAATTCTTAATTTCTATGAGACACAGCTCCTTCTATTACTGAAAAATAAGATGATGTGAGCATTTTATACCAAATCATCAACACCTCATTTCTCATATACCTTCCCAAACATATAATTCATTTTTTTAAACTATCAAGTTCATTCTATTGTTTCTAAGTTTAAATAAAAATCAGAAACATTGGGACTTACAAGCTATATTGAAATAAACTTAAATGTTCTGGCTCCATAATACATATATCTATATATCATCATTTTAAAAGAAAGGCCTGAAATACAGTGACTGGAATTTATTGTAAATAGAAATCTATTAACTATAATTCCAACACATCCTAAACCTGCCAATTAAACTATATTTAATCTTTTTTAAAATATATATTTTATTGATTTTGTACAGAGAGGAAGGGAGAGAGATAGAGAGTTAGAAACATCAATGAGAGAGAGTCATCGATCAGCTGCCTCTTGCACACCCCCTACTGGGGATATGCCCACAACCAAGGTACATGCCCTTGACGGGAATCGAACCCAGGTCCCTTCAGTCCCCCAAGCCGACGCTCTATCCATTGAGCCAAACCGGTTTTGGCTAAACTATATTTAATCTTAATGTTTCCACCCAAAACAAGTTTATCCTGAAAATAATGTAATCCATGCCATTAGTTATACCTATCACCTTAAAAAAAAAAAAAAGCGGATTTCTTTTTACATATATATTTTTAAATTTACATATTTTATATATTGAAAATTTGAACATATTCTTAATTCATATATTTTCTAAGACAGGTTTAAGATCATCATATTACTTAACTTTTTAAAAAATATTTTTTATTTATTTACAGAGAGGAAGGAGAGAGATAATTAGAAACATCAATTAGCTGCCTCCTGCACACCTCCCACTGGGGATGTGCCCGCAACCAAGTTATGTGCCCTTGACCAGAATCGAACCTGGGACCTTTCAGTCTGCAGGCTGATGCACTATCCACTGAGCCAAACTGGTTTCAGCTACTTAACATTTCTAAAGTATATACATCAAACCTTGGCCAGTGTGGCTCAGTTGGCTGGTTGATGTCCTGCGCACTAAAGGTTTACTGGTTCGATTCCCGGTCAGGGCATCTGTTTGGGTAGTGGGCTCAATCACTGGTAGGGGGTGTGCAGGAGGTAGCCAATGAATGTTTTCCTCTCACACATCAATGATTCTCTCTCCCTCTCCTTCCCTCTCCGTCCAAAAATCAATAAAAATTTCTTAAAATAAATGAAGTATATACATCAAAATGTGAGTAAATGTTACATCAACCATAGTTGAGGCAATCTCATCAAATTTTTTAAAGAAGGAAATTACACAAGTTTAAAAGATTAACTCAGGATTTTATTGTCAATCTATAAATCAAAATCTAAATATTATCTCTTCAATGAAACTAGATTTTAAGGTATCCCCGCTACCTAGATTTCTTCTTTTTATGCAAAAAGGGAGTCATTTGTTGTTAAAGAAGAGCATAATATTTAATAGAATAAAAGAGAACTTTGCATTTACTGAAAACTTTTACTTAACAATTACCTTTTCTGTAATAGGGAAGAGAAGTAATACTGCACATACTGGTCTTGGTACCATGCTAAGGAGTTCAGGATCCATTCCATATACATCAACAAACTGCCATTTAGGATGTAGACCTAATTGTTTGAGAAACTGGTAAAAGAAGGGGGGGAAATATATATATATATATAGTGTTAGTAAGGAAATAATCAACATGTAAATACTATGTATCTATATATATAAAAGCCTAAGCAATCTTTACAACCAAATGACATGAACGATAGGTTGTCCAGTCGCTATGACACATAGTGACCACCAGGGGGAAGATTCTCAACCCAACAGCTGTCCCCCCTTGCCGAAACTGGTTTGGCTCAGTGGATAGAGTGTCGGTCTGCAGAATGAAAAGTCCCAGGTTCGATTCCGGTCAAGGGCATGTACATTGGTTGCGAGCACATCTCCGGCAGGGGGGTGCAGAAGGCAGCTGGTCTTTGTTTCTCTCTCATAGACGTTTCTAGCTCTCTATCCCTCTTCCTTCCTCTCTGTGGGAAACCAATAAAACATTTTTATTTTTTTTTATTTTATTTTTTTAAAATATATTTTATTGATTTTGTACAGAGAGGAAGGGAGAGAGATAGAGAGTTAGAAACATCAATGAGAGAGAGTCATCGATCAGCTGCCTCTTGCACACCCCCTACTGGGGATATGCCCGCAACCAAGGTACATGCCCTTGACTGGAATCGAACCTGGGACCCTTCAGTCCCCAAGCCGACGCTCTATCCATTGAGCCAAACCAGTTTCGGCAATAAAACATATTTAAATTTTAAAAAAAGAGCTGCCCCCTGGTGGTCAGTGCACTCCCACAGCAAACTTCCTGTGGCAGCTTCCCAACCCGCACACTGCCAGCTGACCAACCTCCTGCAACCCTTCCCCTGCCCAGTCAACCTCCCATAGCCCTTCCTCCTGCATGGCCAACCTCCTGAAGCCCCTCTCCTCAGCTGGCCATCCCCCCCTCAATCAGTGGGGGGCACCAGCTGGCCAACCTCCTACAGGCCTTCACCCCAGCCAGCTATCCCCCCGACCGGCTGGCTAACCTCCCGTGGTCATTCCCCATTGCCGGCCGGTCCCCCAATAGGCCCCAATCACCAGCCAGGCTGAGGGACCCCACCTGTGCACAAATTCATGTACTGGGCCTCTAGTCTAATACATAAAAGGGAATGCAAGATACAAATATTACTGATATTCAATAAGAATAAAATAGCTTTCCCATAAATAGGGAATGAAACTAAGCAAAATGTTTTTCAAAATCCATTACTTTGGGACAGAACATAATAAGCCAGGATTTCACCAAACCCATACAAGTCCTAGTAGATAATTATTTTAGAAGATCAACACAATTTGTCCTACTTACCAATGATGCCTGAAGTTTGAAAATAAATAGATATCATAAATAATATCAATAAGTAAAGAGTCTTTAAAGCCAAAAAAAGTCCAATAGACTTGTGCGAACACCAGAGAATGCTTGATATAAGGAGTATACTACTGGCTTCCTGACCTCTAGTACACAATGAAATCTAGTCATCTGTACTGATTCTTATATCTGGCAAAACAACTATAACAAAAGAATAGTGTTTTGTTTTTGTTGTTAATCCTCACCCAATTATATTTTTTTCATTGATTTTTAAGGGATTGAGGGTGGGGAGAGAGTTTGAGAGAGAAACATTGATGTGAGAGAGACACATAGGTTGATTGCCTCCCAGTCAGGTACATGCCCTTCACTGGGAATGGACCCACGACCCTTCAGCGTGCAAGTCAATGCTCTAATCACTGAGACCACCGGCCAGGGCAAGAATGGAGTTTTTAAATTATTATAAGATTTCATAGGAAAATAAAATGTCAGGCCCTAACCTACTGCAGAGAGAAAAAAGAGAAATGTAATAATGAGAATTATGACAATTTCATAAATTCTTAACAAATGTCTGTACTGAATAAAGATGGTTTTTTAAAGTGTACTATCACAAAATAAGTTTCAGATGACAGAAAAAAAATGAGAAGAGGAAACAAAAAAATCATATTAAAAATTCATCATTATACCTTACCTCAAAAATACATTATAGCATCTATTGGTCTAACATCATCTGAAATTTAAAAATAAAGAGGTGCTGGCCCAGTCAGCATGTTTCAGTGGTTGAGTATTGACCTATGAACCAGAAGGTTACGGTTCCATTCTGGGTCAGTGCATATGTCCGGGTTGTGGGCTCAATCCCCTGCAGAGGATGTGCAAGAGGCAGCCGATCAATGGTTCTCTCTCATCATTGATGTTTCTATCTCTCCCTATCCCTTCCTCTCTGAAGTCAATAAAAATATATTTTAAAAAATAAAATAGTGCCCGAGGTATTTCTCCCTAAAGAATGATCACATGTTCATCAGGTCAGATCTTGCTAACTTGGCAATTTTCAACCTTTTGCTCCTCTGAGCACACATAAACTGATTACTAAAATTCTGCAGCACACCAAAAATATATTTTGCTATTTTAACAAAAAATAGGTATAATTTTGATTTAAAAAATAATAACAATAGTAATTACCTAGCCTTTTTGCTCCAAAGTGACTTTTAAAAGAATCGGTGTGACTCAATGGCTGGTGTGACTCAATGGCTGAGCATTGACCTATGAACCAGAAGGTCACAGTTCAATTCCGGGTCAGGGCACATGCCAGGGTTGCAGACTCAATCACTAGTAGGGGGCATGCAGGAGGCAGTTGATCAATTATTCTCATTTTTGATGTTTCTATTTTTCCTCCCTTCATCTGATTCAATAAAAATATATTTTTAAAAATCAGGCATCTGTACTTAGATATAAGTATTTCTGGTATCAAGAATTAACCAATCAGATGCAACATTACTATACAACATGACCAATAACATGCAACTTTATTATATGACCTATATATTTATGATTTAAGACAGGTCATTCACACAGAACAGCTATCATTGCATTGACTGTTGTCATTTTCTTATTTCACAATCTAAGGAAAAAGAGGTCAGTGTCCCTGACTCAACAGTCAGGTGTTGCATGTTTTAAAAATCCTTAAGACATACCAGTTGAAAATCGATGTGCTAAATTGATGGAAAGCAAGCCATGTTACATAAACAATATTATTAATCTTACACATAGGTATTCCCATCTATTTCTCAGCCAGTAGAAGAAACTCTACTTAATGATAACATGATTGGTCAAAATTAAGGTCTTAGATATACTAGTATATTTATTTAAATATTTTTTTAATTGATTTCAGAGGTGAAGGGAGAGGGAGAGAGAATCATTGATTGGCTGCCTTCCAGGCCATATGCCATGTATGTGAATCAAACCCAGGACCCTTCAGTCCACAGGCTGACACTCTATCCACTGAGCAGGGCTATATATTTGTTTATTTGTGTCATATTAAAGAGGTAAAAAAAAAAATACATTTGGCTATTAATCTAAATTCAGGCATTCATTTAATCAACTTCAAATATTACCTGCACAGTACTGACAGCCCTAATCCTGATAAGAGGATTTAAATGTATATGTAATGTTATGTACCCGTAAAAGCCATATTGTAATTAAGTTATAAGCTAACAAGTATAAAAAAATACCAAGTTCTAAAGGTGGCAATTGTAGTGAGACTGAGTAGTATCAAACTGCAGACACAATTAATGATTAAATTAAATAGAAAAATAAATTAAATTAAATACAAAAACTATCACTAGAGTCATAGTTTTCCTTAATGTGTTACTTATGTCGCCAAATCAAATGAGATTGATATAAAGTTCAATTAAAGTAGTATCTATTAAGTATAAGATAAGTCGTCAACTTTTGCCTCTTTAAATCTTAAAGGTGTTTTACTTTTATAATTTAAAACCAACCCTTCTGTGGGTTTGATGATTATAGGCAAATAAAGAAAAATAAGAAAAAAATGTCTCTAAAATATTAACAGCAGTTAGCTTGAATAGTGTGAACTCAACTTTTTATTTTTCAATATGTAAAAAAAAGTATAATTTTGTAATAGCTAAATGCATCTTCTAAGTGACAAATCGATAGAATTGATTCATGTGTATTTTATTTAAACTCACAAAACTGGAAGAAAACCCAAAATAAGTATTAGAATTATACTCTTCAAAAATCTTTCCAGACCATTCATGAAGAAAAGTATCTTATATATGCATTTGCAAAGCTATCTCTATAAAATTAGCATAATGTTTACATGAAGGAAAATAAAGGCTCATAACTTCTAACACTAGTCTTCTGGCTTTTCAAAACACTGGGTAATAGAATAACAAAATATTCTGACTGATTAGCTCACTAAATTTTCACAATGCCTCTAAAATATTGGCCAGTCAAAAAAATTAGTAAATAACAATATCCTTGGTCAACTTATCCTTTTTATTCATGGACCCAATGATAAACTTTCCACCAGATAAAGAGTATTTTAAATTACTTATAATAATTTTTAAGATTATGATGTATCAGAAACAATTTGCAGAGTTTTAATGCACTTCAACATTATTGCAACAGGAAGGGTAGGTTTCACCAATAAGAAAACTGAGTGTGCACTGTTGTTTTCTGTACATAAAAGTAATAAAAATTCTCCTCAGCCAGCGTCTTGGAAAAAAAAAAAAAGAAAAAGAAAAGAAAAGAAAACTGAGTTTGAGAAGTTATATGATTTTTCAAGGTCTCGCTGCCAGAATCCACATGCAAAACTCTGGATGAGCTGGCACCTATTTACTTTTCGAGCCCCACCTCTCACTGCTTGAAGCATTTTTTTTTTTTTTGTACCTTTTTTTCTAACTTGAGCCACAATGAACTCTTCCAGTTCTTAAAGAGTCTCTAACCATTTCTTCCCTCCAGATTTTTGCACACAAATTGCAGTTCTCTATCTAAACACTGTTAGCTTCTTCACTGATTTATTGTTATAATGAATTGTCCCTCAATCTTTAGGTGACCGTCAAATAACAAAAAATCTGATTTTATAATTTTTAATAGAAAAATTAAATTTCCTTTCCTTTCAAATTTGTTCTAAAGCCACTTTCTCTGGTCTTTAAGATCTAACATCCTGGACAGCAATAGATTCTTCCTTATTACAAATTCATTAATGCTGTGGGTTATGCCAGAAATTATACTTATTTAGTAATTGCTTGATTTAACTATTATTAAAAGTATACTACCGGTAGTAGTAATTGCTAGATGTAAAACTAGGAGCATAACTAATAGTTAAATGAGAAAATGATGGTTCTTAAAACCTGGAAACTAGCAAAATTAATTTTAATAGAGATGTAATAAAAAAAAAAAGAAAAAGAAAGTACAGAATAGGAAAATACTGGAAACATTTTATGTGGGAATTAAGGGGTTTATTTCTCTGAAAGCTCAATATGAACTAACTACACAATTGTCAACAAAAATAATGCAATGTTAGTTTACTATAAAATAATGCATTATTTTAATTTTGAACCCTGCTATTTTACTGAATTCATTTATCAGATAACATTTTTTCACAGAACTATTAAAAATAATCCTAAATTTATATGGAATCACAAAAGACCCCAAATAGTCACAGCAATATTGAGAAAAAAGTACAATGTTGGAGGTATCATACTACCTGATAACAAACTATACTAAAATACTATAGTAATCAGAACTGGCATAAAAATAGGTACATAGATCAATGGGACAGAATAGAGCGCCCAGAAATAAACCCATGCCAATATGGTCAAGTAATCTATGATAAAGAAGGCAATATACAATGGGATAAAGAGGTACATCTACACAATGGAATACTATGCTGCCATAAAAAAAGAAGGAATTCTCATCATTTGCAGCAACCTGGATGGAATTGGAGAACATCATGCTGAGTGAAATAAGCCAATCAATGAAAGAGAAACACCACCTGACCCCACTCATTTGTGGATAATAAAGATCATTATAAACTGGGGAAAAAAACAAAAAACAATGGGACAAAGATAACCTCTTCAATAAACTTGGGATACTGAACAGATACACGCAAAAAAACCCCAAAAAACTATATATACTATATACCAAAAAAAGCAAAAACTTTCTTACACTACATACAAGAATAAGCTAAAATGGATTAAACTTATATTTAAGACCCCAAACCATAAAACTTCTAGAAAAATAGCATGGGTAGTAAACTCTCTGACATTGCTCTTAGTAATATTTTCTTGGATATCTCCTCAAAAGAAAAAATAAACAAATAGGACTACATTAAACTAAAAAGTTTTGCACAGCAAAGGAAACCATCAACAAAACAAAAAACCAACCTACTGAATGGAAGAAGATATTCACCAATGATACATCTGATAAGAGGTTAATATCCAAAATTTATGAAGAACACAAACAGCAGCAAAAAAATAAACAATCCAATTTAAAAATGGGTAGAGAACCTGAATAGATATTTCTCCAAAGAGTACATACTGATGGCCAATAGACATATGAAAAGATGCTTAATTGTTCCTCAATTTTCAGAGAAATGCAAATTGAAACCTCAATGAGATACTACTTCACACCTGTCAGAATGGTTAATAAATCAACAAACAAGTGTTGGCGAGAATGTGGAGAAAAGAGAACACTTTGGTGGGATTGTAAACTGGTGCAGCCACAGTGAAAAACAGTATGACTGTTCCTCAAAAAATTAAAAATAGAACTACCTTATGACCCAGCAATTCCACTTCTGGTTATTTATCAAAAAAATCAAAATACTAATATAAGAAGCCCTATATTCACTGCAACATTTTTGACAATAGCCCAAATTTGAAAGCAACCTAACTGCCCATTAGTAGACAATTGGATGAAGAAGAGGTGTAACATATACAACACACATTGTACATCTACATATACAATATAGATATTACATGGCCACAGAAAAGAGTAAAATCTTACCATTTGCAGCAACATGGATGGACCTAGAGGATATTATGCTAAGTGAAAGAAGTCAATCAGAGAAAGACAAATACCATATGATTTTATGTTTATGTGGAAACTAAAGAATAAAATAAATGAACAAACAAGACAGAAACAGACTCATAGATAAAGAGAACAAACTGATGGTTGCCAGATAAGAGGGACATTGGAGGGACTGGGTAAAAAAAGTGAAGGGATTAAAGAGTATAAATTGGTAGTTACAAAATAGTCACAGGATGTAAAGGGTAGTATAGGGGACATAGTAAATAATATTGTATTGTGCCAAGTATGCCCTCGATCTTACAGGGGAAATTATTTTGTAAATTTTATAATGTCTAATCACTAGGCAGTACACTTGAAAGTATTATAAAATAATATTGAATATTAACTATAATTGAAAACCTTAAAAAAAAAAAAGTCTTATAATATTAGCTTTGAGAGGCCTATTTTATAAAGGACAATGACAAACAGAAGCAAGCTTAAAGGAAGGTGACCAAGAATGATAAGGTTTTGCAAGACATCACAGCTGGAGAGTCTAGGCACATTCAAAAAAACCTTAAATTATTATGATCCTTAACCCCAGATATTATTCAGTAATATCTTGAAAGAACAATTAGTTTTACTCTGTGTGGTTTCACTGGGATTGACTAATGGGCAACTGGAAGAAGTTATAGAAAAACAGATTTTGTTTCAACAAATATAATTCTTCTAGCTTTTATAATATACTACTCATTATTATAAGAAAATATGCAATAGAATGCTGCTCATTAAAATATTAAAATAAAAGACTCATGACCACATTAAAGGCGATTTTGAGAAAGATTTTCTGGAGCAACTATATGTTTACTCATTCTCCCACTCACCATATGTAGAGAGTACGCTAGCAGCCAGTCACCATTCTTAGTACTTCAGTCATGTCTTTGCTCTGATAGGATTTACATTCTAGTAGTAGTATACACTCAATAAACAAGTAAATACATAAACAAGATTGTTTTACAAGGCAGTACATATTGTGAAGAAAATAAAACGACACAATGTCAGTGCAGATTCAGGGGAGGTGGGCGTGGAGAGGAACTTTAACTGCTAATAAAAAAAAGGCTAAGGATGTGACTTCAAATTAAGCCACAAATGACAAGAAACAACTCAGATCGGGACGATTCAAGCAAAAAGTGAGCAAGTGCAAAGCCTCTGCAGGAGGAATGGGTGTGGCACTCAGACAGCGCAGCAGGAGTGGAACAGCAGGGGGCAGTACTTGCTCCTCAGGCCACAGGAAGTTGGGAAAACCATATTTTCTTGGTCTTCTGTGTTCTGTTTTACACAGGGAGACAAAAGATATGACTTGCATTTTTAAAAAACCACTTTGGGTACATATGGAGACTACAATAGATTTCTGGGAGGTGAAAGGAGAAGCAGAAAAACTAATTACTGCAGTTGTCTAAACTGAGGATGATGGTAGTTGGGGCTGTAGTAGTGGAAATGAAGAAAATGGCCAGATTTGGAATATAATTTGAAAGAAAAGTCTACAAGGATGAGAGAGGTTAGGGAAAGAACAATATTTTAAAAAGCTGGCCATTCACAGAGTGAATGCTTTGTTCTAGAAATTGCTCTACATACTTTACATGTAGTCATTTATTTAATCCTTACAATTTTACAAGATCAGGAGAGGTTATAAGAAACTAAGGTACAGAGGTTAGGGAACTGCTCATAGTCTCACAGCCCTGATAAAACCCAAGACACCAAATCACTGCAATAGAGCCTCTCCAAATTAGCATAGTTGTGAAGAAGATTCAATGACAGTGACTCGGGCATTGGATAAAAAGGCAGTGCCCTTGAAAGCCTGGGGAAAACACATTTGGAGGACAGATGAGAGGAGGTTAAATCCAGATTTCTTTTTCAGCCATGCTAAGTCTGAGGTATCTATAAGACATCAAAATGGAGATATATGATTGTCTATATCACAGACTGGAGGGTTTTTTGTTTGTTTGTTTGTTTTTGTTTTTTTACAGGTTTCCAATTTGGTGAAGTCCGGGCTTAGAGAAAATATGATCAACTATGTGACGGTTGATAGTATTAATGCTACAAAATAGAAACCATCGCTAGGAAGAGAACGCACATAGAAAAGATTAGCAATCTAGGACAAGGTTCTCAGGAACTTCTTAGAAGCTGGGAGGGAGAAGATCTAGCAAATGTGAATCTAGGAAACAGTGAAAAGGGAGGAAAATCAGAATTATCACAGAAGCCAAGAAAAGATGATGTTTCAAGAAAGATGGAATGGCCTACTCTATCAAATGTTGCTGAGAAATCAAGAAATTTGGGGACAGAGCCGAAACCGGTTTGGCTCAATGGATAGAGCGTCGGCTTGGGGACTGAAGGGTCCCGGGTTCGATTCCGGTCAAGGGCATGTACCTTGGTTGCGGGCACATCCCCAGTAGGGAGTGTGCAAGAGGCAGCTGATCAATGACTCTCTCTCATCGATGTTTCTAACTCTCTCTCTCTCTCCCTTTCTCTCTGTACAAAATCAATAATATATATATATATATATATATATATATAAAAAGAAATTTGGGGACAGAAAATGACAAATAGATCTGGCAAAGTGATGATTAGTAAACGCTACAAAAATACTTAATATGAAATGGTGAGGACAGAAACAAGTCAGATAAAAATGAACACAGGAGGGAAATGATGAGAAAGTAACAACAGCTCCTATGAACAATTCTTACAAAGAAGGGAAACAGATGTGAGACAGTAGCTAGAGGAGGATGGAGTAACAGGGTTTTTCCCCAAGATGGGATCTACTAACTAGAAAATCTTTGTATATTTATGGCAAAAGCCCAGCAGATGATCTCTAATTCTTTTTCCAATTCTAAGCATCTAAGCTAAATATAATAGTTATGTTACATTTGTTCTCCTTTGGATATTATAATTACTAGAAGCCTGGTGCACAAAATTTGTGCAGGGGGGGAGGGGTGTTCCTCATCCCAGCCTGCACCCTCTCCAATCTGGGACTCCTCTCACAATCCAGGACTGCTGGCTCCTAACCACTTGCCTGCCTGCCTGATTGCCCCTAACCACTCTGCCTGCCTCCGTGATAGCCCCCTAACCACTTCCCTGCCAGCCTGATTGACACCTAACTACTTTCCTACTGGCATGATCTCCCGCAACTGCCTTCCCCTGAGGGGCTGAGGGAACTGGGGGACTGAGGCTGGATGAGGCAGGGTTGAGAAGACTGGGTGTCACCATCTTGTGGCTGTGGGCACTGTCATCTTGTGAGGGCATGGCAGTCAATTAGCATATTTCCTCTTTATTGTCTGTGGGCACTGCCTTTTTGTGAGGGCATGACTATCTAATTAGAATATTCCCTCTTTATTAGATAGAATGCTAGAAAATATATTACCTCTTCAATAAAATCACCATTAAAAATATTTTTAGGGGATTTCCATACCAAAAATTATTGGTTCTAAAACACACTAACATTTAAAATATACATAGTGTGGCTGTGTTGTACTCAAATCACAAAATATAAATCAGGATGAAAATCTAGTGTGCTCATAAGAAGAAATGTTATGATTGCCTATATCACAGACTGGAGGGTTTTTTTTGTTTGTTTGTTGTTTTAAAGTTATAATTCTTATGCTTAATTACCTAAAATCTGCTACAAGCTGCTATGACCCCTTTAAATGTATGTGTAAATTAAAAGATGCTTAAATTTTTTAAATAAATTTTCTATTACTTCATTTTAGGTAAGTCCTACCTGTAGCATGATAAAATATTCTTAGAAGGGATTGATAGCATATTAAACAACAAAAGAAATAATTGCTTAACATACCTAGAGACACATGGTTACTAGTAGTTAATGTGTAATAGTTAATAATGATCTGTTGATCATTCTTATACAAAGTAGGCATCATTAGAGCAAAATCAATATTTGCTCAAACTAAAAGTACAATAATAACACATGCAACTCCCAAATGGTAACACTGTGAAATCAAGGTAAGTGAAAGGCCTTCTATTCCATTAACTTGAGAAAATTAGAAAAGGTATAGCTGGGTACTGTCGTTGGGGTTTACCTGTGGCTTAATTCTAGTAATGCTAGTCAGTTAATTAAATATCTATTCATTATCTATCTCAGTTTTATCATTAATACAAAGAGAATAAAGAAACAACCACAAAAATTGTGACTAAAACCAATCACTGCCTAGTTACTTGCACATTCTCCCACTAACAGTGCATCACTTCTTTTATAAATTATTTTAAAACAAACTGAACTACAACAAAGCATGCCAGAAATAGAATACAATTATATACAAAAAACATCTCTTCTATTTATGACACTTCAGAATGATCTCGTCACCATCTAACCTGTGATGTTTTCTCTGTCTTCAACACAGTACCCTGTTAATTTCTATCATTGCACCTGTATTATTGCTAATTATTTACTTACTTTTTTGTTTCTTCCCATTGGACTGAAAAGCAGAAAACTATGAATGTTTTAATCACCACAATATAACCACCTCCTTCTCAGGTACCACCACCTGGCTGGTGTGGCAAGGGATTGAGGGTCAAGCCATGAACCCGAGGTCAGGATTCAATTCCCAGTCAGGGCACATGTTCAATCCCCAGTAAGGGGCAGGCAGGGGGCAGTCGATCAATGATTTTCTCTCCACTGATGTTTCTCTTTCTCCTTCCTTCCTCTTTCTGAAATAATTTTTTTAAAAGATGCTCCCTTCTTCTGTATAAAATCAATAAAATATATTTTTTTTAAAAAAATAAAAAATAAAAGATGCTCCCAAAATACTATTTAATTAATGTGAACAAGTGAATGTTTTTTTTAGAGCTTACATGATTACCTAGGAACAAAGTCCAATAATAGCTTAATCACAGAATATGTTTCCAGTAAAACAAGCTTACATCTTATTAAAAGAAATAATATGATTTAAAAATAGTTCTGTTCTTTAGTCTGTTAATATAGGTAATTACATTGATTGACTTGAATGGTGAACCAGCTTTATAATACCAGGATAAACTGTTTGCATCAGAATATTTTATCCTTTTATATACTATTGGATTCTCTTTGCTAATATTTTGTTGAGGATTTTTACATCTATGTTCACAGGGGATATTGGCTTTCAGATTTTGTTATTATGGTTTGTCTGGTAATGCTGGTCATAAAATGAGCTGAAAAATGTCCCTTCTATTCGATGTTTATGTTAAATTGGTCAATTAAATGATCATATCAAGAGATGCAGAAAAGTCATTTGAGAATATTCAACATTGATACATGAGTAAAAAACTCTCAGCAAACTAAGAAGGGAACTTTCTTAGCTTGATAAAAAGCATCTACCAAAATCCTACAACTAACATCTTTTATGATGAAAGATCAAATGTTTTCCCCCTAACATCTGAAACAAGGCAAGGTTGTTCTATCTCCAACCGTCCATGTTGTACTGAAGGTCCTAGCCAGTGCAATGAGATATAAAAGGCACATAGGTTGATATAAAAGGCATATAGAAATAAAACAGTCTGTTCATTGAGAATATTGTCTATATAGAAAATCACACAGCATCTAAAAAACAATTAGAATAAGTGACTTTAGCAAGGCAGTAGGACACAAAATCAATATATAAAAACCAGTATCTTGAACTCTGTTGCCGAGATGGCACTCAACCCAACAGAATAGCATCTCAGACATGTCGAAAAAGATGTTTTGATCCCTAAAATAATGATAAAAGGCCCAAGAGAGATGTTCTGAACAAGTTCAAGATTTACCATATGTGCAAGGAATCTGGAATCCTTAGGTAGTAAAATGCTAGAAAGAAAATTCTGCATTGAAAGAATGTCCAATGGCTTACTACAATGATCCTACCTTTTATGAAGAATGCAACATGGAATGCCTGAAGGAAAAAGAATTCAGAAAAACTGAAATTGCTATCAAGGCTACAGAAGGTTCCAACAAACACATAGGCAAATATTCAAATGATACTCAGTAACTCTATTCATGGAAATCACAACTACCTAAAATAATGGACACAAGAAAGTATATTTGCTTTATCCTTAATTTTGGAAATATTAATTTTATCTGAAATAAAGTTTCTTTTTTTCATTAAAAAAAACAAAACAAAAACAGTACTTCTACAAAAGTAATGGATGAGCCAGAACCGGTATGGCTCAGTGGATAGAGCGTCAGCCTGCGGACTGAAGGGTCCTGGGTTCGATTCCGGACAAGGGTACCTGGGTTGCGAGCACATCCCCAGTAGGAGGTGTGCAGGAGGCAGCTGATCGATGATCCTCTCTCATCAATGTTTCTGACTCTCTATCCCTCTCTCTTCCTCTCTGTAAAAAATCAATAAAATATATATTTTTAAAAAGTAATGGATGATTAGAAATTAAAATTTTAAAACAGTATAACTTATAATAGCACCAAAAAATCACTAAACACTTGGGTATTAATCTAACAAAATATGTGTAATAGTTACATGCTGAAACTACCAAACACTGTTGTAACGAGTCAAATAAATTATGAGATATACCATCTTCATGAATTGCAAGACTCAATATTGTTAAGATGCTAAATTTCCCCCAAAATGTAGTTATAGATTTGGGCACACATTCACCAACAAAATCACAATTAGGACTTTTGTGGAAATTGTCCAGCTGATTGTAAAACTTACATAGAAATGCAAAGTGATTAAAATAGCCTAAACAATTTTGAAAAATAAGACTTACTATAAAACTACAGTAATCAAAACAGTTGGGTATTGATGAAAGAACAAACACACATATCAATGGAACCCTAGCACTCTCCAGATATATGATTTTTCACAAAAGGTGTACAACTAGTTTTGGATTAAGTCTAAGAGAAATATGCTTCTTTCCTATGGCATTAAAGTCAGAAGTTGCAAATACTGACTTCTGCCTAAAGATTACTCTCAGCTTATAGTCAAAATGTGTTAGGGGGGCAAAAAAATGAACAGCACATTTCAAAGGGGGTAATACAAAAGGAAATTAACATAGATAGGAAACGCCACCATTAGAATAATATAAAAGATATATGCTGGGTTTTAAGCTTTTTCTAGATTACTGAAGAGATGAGTTGGGGGGAAAAAGTCATTTCAAAGGCATATAATAAACCTGAGGAAGACAGCAGATTTGCTGACAACGTTCAAATGCGTCTATCTACTTTCATCATACAAGGAATTTTCTGCAAGCGTTGAAAAACCAAAAGCCAATGAAGTGGGTGACAAACGTTATTCTTTGGTGACAAGAATGAAGATGACGGGAGGAAAATTTTATAGGTCAAAATAAACTAAGGCGGCAATACAAAGTAAACTACCTTTTGAGAATGTAAGGCAAAGGAGACCTCAGGAAATGTAAAGTTTACACCTGGTAGCACTCATTCTTCTTTTCATGGAGTGGCTGGGGGATGTCCCCTCTTCCTCCTCGAACTGGACCCTCCAAACCCAGACGAACTAGGTGGCAAAGAAAGTGTGGGGACCACCGCACTGAGCTTTCTAAAAGGAACTGAATGCCAGTTTTAAGAAACTGGAAGAGAAAGGGGGCGTGGCGGGGAAGAGAGGCGCCCGGCTGGGTCCGGAGATGATTGGGAGATGACTTCACGGGGCAGGAGGAGGATGACATTTTCCACGACCAGGACCGGGTGGGCGAGTTTACAAAGCTTGGAGTCAGGTAGAGCCGGCAAGTTAAGTCACCCAAAAGGTACTTGGGGTGGGAAAACGATGGGATCGGCGCCAACAGGAAAGAAGGAAACCGAAGAAAACGAAGAGAGAAACGAGGAGCAGGAACACAGGGTGAACGAACATCCCTCCAACCCCGAGCTGCAGGACACCTGACGACGGGGGCAATGGGACCACGGGGGGAGCCGGGCCAGCTGGGAGGACCTCCAGGAGCCAGGTGGGAGGGAGGGAGGCGGCCGTGAAACGGGCACACCCGCGGGGGGGACCCCTCCAGGGCGGCGCGGAGGTGAAGACGGCCGGGGACGGCTCCAGGGTCCCGAGCGACCAGACGCCTCACTCACCTGGTTGGTGACCTGGAAACGAAACAGAGAACACGCTTTAGAGACAAACGGCCCCTGACCGGCGGCAGCAGCCCGGCTTCCCCCCGCCGGCATCCCCAGGCCGAAATCACAGCCGCGCTCACCTCGGGGTTGGCCTCCAGCGGCAGCCAGCGGTGGCGCTCCATGGCAGCTCCGCCCGGCCGCTCGCCAGCTCTGACAGCCTTCGCAGCGGCGGCCGCTTCCGCCCCGCGTGCCGTGACCTGGGACCGTCCAACCCTCCGCCCACCGGGGGGGGGTAGTGCTTAAGGACGAAGAAGAGCTTGACAACACGATAGCCCCTTTCCCGCTCCTACTAAGCTTCACCTACATTGTACGTTAAGGCAAAATAGGAGAGGAAAATAATAAGAGCCACTTTCCTACTGCAAAAGGAAAATGCATCCGCACCGACTACAGCCTGCTCCCCTCCCGCTTGGACTCTTCCTATCCAAGCCAAGCGCTCTCGAGCTGCGCATGCGCCTTGCGTCTGTCTAGGACCAGCGCGTGGTGGCAGCGCCCCACCCATCCCTGCAGCGTCAGCCTGCGGCACTAGGGGGCGCACCACTAAACCCTAGTCCAGTGATCGGCAAACTCATTAGTCAACAGAGCCAAATATCAACAGTACAATTGAAATTTCTTTTGAGAGCCAATTTTTTTTAACTTAAACTATATAGGTAGGTGCATTGTTATTAACTTAATTAGGGTACTCCTAAACTGGCCTTTGCTAAAAACTCAAGGTGCCAAAGAGCGAGCCGCAGTTTGCTGACTACTGTGGGCCTGGTCTAAGGGGTAGAGACCGGGCAGCTGCCCATCCGAAAGCCCTAATTAACCCAGTGCCTGATACATAATAGATGCACAATAAATATTTGAAGCGTGAATAAAATAACCTGGTATACAGATACACCATTTGTCAATAATGGAGAAAACCTGCACGTGAGCTGATGAGATTGAGTTAGGGTAGTAATCATAGAGATGGAGAGGGAGGCACAGGTTAAAAAGATACTGTTTTAAGGGGTCAGCCTTTTGATGAGCAGGAATTGTCAGTGGTAACTCCAGAGATTTGACCTGGTGTGAGTGCATATTACTATTATGCACTCAATAGAGGGCATCCAGGGAGAGAAACAGAGAGTGAGAAAAAGATTATTATGCCGAGTTTGCCTTTCTTGGGAAACTGCCAACTCTCCCACTCATGTTTTTTCTAGTCACTGTTTTTTGACCTCTAAGGAATTTCCAATCCACGACTCCTCTTTTTTCTTATCTGCTAGATAGCTTGCTGCTATCCCCACCCAACTGTGATTCGGTAAATCTGAAATATCCACCACACACGATGGGCGGCTGGGGTTTCATCATACTTGAGTTTCATGGTCAGGTTCTCAGTGGCATACCAGGGCTCTTTTACAAATGACTTGCTGTCAGAGGTATGGACTTGCTCCAGATCCTGAGTTTTTGCACCATGACTCTCCTATTAGGGCTTACCTAAGACTCCGTACAGCATCCTTAACTCCCATGGACATCTCAAGCACCATTGGATCTGCTGAGACATAGAGCCAAGTAGCAAGGCAGCTGGCATTTAAGCTTAGACTTGCGATACTGCACTCAGGGACGCACTTAAACTGACAGTTGCCTGTGTTTCCCAATAAAGGTTTTACAGCTGTATTCCCAGGTGTGGCATATGCTGCCTCCAAAAGCCAAAAAGCCCCACCAAGTGCTTCGCCTCTTCCCAATTAATAGAAAATAAAATGTGCAATAACGTTTTCTTCACCTTAGAAAGTTGTCCCAGCATGCCCAGACTTTTGGACCCATAAAAACTTTATTAGCCCTAGCCAGTTTGCTCAGTGGATAGGGCATCGACCTATGGACCGAAGGGTCCTGGGTTCGATTCTGGTCAAGAGCACGTACCTTGGTTGCAGGCTCCTTCCTGGCCCAGGCCCTGGTCTGAGTGCGTGCAGGAGACAACTCGATGTGTTTCTCTCACATTGATATTTCTGTCTGTATTTCCCTCTCCCTTCCACTCTCTCTAAAAATCAATGGAAAAATATCCTCCAGTGAGGATTAAAAAAACCCCACAAACTTTATTAGCCTGGCCAGCATGGCTTAGTTGGTTGAATGTCATCCTGTGCAAGGGAAAAGTTGCCAGTTTGATTCCTGGTCAGGACACATACCTGGGTTGTGGGTTCAATCCCTGGACAGGGCACATAGGAAAGGAAACCAACCCATGTTTCTCTCCCACATCAATTTTCCTCTCTCTCTCTCTCTTCACCTTCCGCTCTCTAATCATGTCCTTGGGTGAGGAATAGAAAAATAAATTTTATAAAACTCTATTAATGTAGTAGGCCCCTAATCTTCGTAGGATTTAACTGTCCCACTCTGCCATGGGTGTACCTACAATCATATCGAGAGCAGTACTTCTTTTTTTTTTTTTTTAATATATTTTATTGATTTTGTACAGAGAGGAAGGGAGAGAGATAGAGAGTTAGAAACATCGATGAGAGAGAGTCATCGATCAGTTGCCTCTTGCACACCCCCTACTGGGGATATGCCCGCAACCAAGGTACATGCCCTTGATCAGAATCGAACCCTTCAGTCCCCAAGCCGACGCTTTATCCATTGAGCTAAACCGGTTTTGGCGAGAGCAGTACTTCTGAAATCTGAATGTGCATACAGACATCTGGGGAGTCAGAAATGCAAATTTGATTCCATAAGTCTGAGATGGGGCCCAAGATTCTATATTATTGGCCCCCATTTTTACCCTTCCTTTATCCACATCTTTTGCCATATTATTAAGTTTTTTCCACTAAGGGGAAAATAGTGTTCATCCTCAATATTCATGAATCCTTCTTTTTGAATTGGCTTACTTGCTAACATTTACTTGTTAATAATTCAATAGCCCCCAGATCAATACTCTTGTCACTTTCACAGTCATTTGCAAACATAGGTGGAAGAATGGCAAAAAACTCAAGCTCCCACTGAAGTCTCATATTGGAAACAAGTGTTCATTTTGTGGTCTGTTTTGTGCCACAATCTTTTGTGTTTTTAAATGTATATTTATATTGATTTCAGAGAGGAAGGGAGAGGGAGAGAGAGAAACATCAATGATGGGAGAGAATCATTGATCAGCTACCTCCTGCATGCCCCCCACTGGGGATCAAGCCCACAATCCAGGCATTTGCCCTGACCAGGAATCGAACCTTGACCTTCTGGTACATAGGTTGATGCTCAACCACTGAGCCACACAGGCAGAGCACATTTTTTGCATTTTTATTGGTGATTTCACTGTGTACATGTATGACCTAAAGATATAGTAAATGAGGTATCTTTAAACAGAAACATACATAACCAAGGTTATGTATTGACCTGTGGATGAAAATGTGACCAGAGTCTCATGGAAACCTAATCCGTATAACCCTTGGGAGCAATGGTTTAGTCTTTACTAATTCAGTGTTTATGGTGACTTTATAGACCAAAAATACCACATATATACAGACTCTGCTGTATGGACCATAAATACCATAAATATACAGACTCTGCTGTATATTTCCCCACTCCTCAACACTGAATTCTACCTCGTGACTTGTTTTGGTCAATAAAATAGGAGATAAATAATTGTGTGTCAGTTCCACATCTGAGCCGTAACAAGCTTGTGTTTCTGCTTGCTGACTTGCACCTCCTCCATAGCCTTGAAGAACGTGCTTAGTTGGCTAGCCAGCTGGTCCCAGGAGCAGAGTGAGAGACACCTGAGCCCAGTCTAGTCGGGCCAACCCACCACTAGCCCCCCAGACATATAAGCTAAATAAATGTTTGTTTGTAGCATGACATCGGGGATTTGTGGACATTTCAGTTTTTATATTTTTACATGGCAAAAGGTAATTGCTATACCTGCCAGGAATTTGAATAGTCAAATTAAAAGGAATACCCAGCTAATTGATAGAACTGCCCCACCTCCAAACCCCACCAGAGAGCCCCAGCCTGCAACACACTGTGACTGTGCGGGGGATAGCGCCTCAGCTGAGACTCAGAAAGGAGCCCCCCAAATTCTACTAACCAAATACAAATGTGTGGTTTTACCTCCGAATTCTTTGAAAAATGTGTACGTTAATGCAACTTTAATTTGTTAATTAACTGTTTCATTATTTTAATTAAATGAGATGTTATTTTAGCAATGAAAATGATATTCAGACTTGATTCAGGTGTTACACTTGATAGAAACCTTGATATCTCTCATATATTTGTTTGATCCCTACCACAGTCTGTGAAGTGGGCAGGGAAGGAAATACAGTTGACGCCATATTACAAACAAGGAAAGGGTGGCTTGGGAAGGTTAAGCTGTTTCCCAAGGTTGTAGAGTGATTTCAGCCTAGATTTCCTGCAGCCATATTTGGATTCTTTTCAAAGCAGGAAAGAAGCCAGAAGAGCAGCATGATGTTCACAAACCAGGGAATGGAACTCAGAAAGCTGGGGGTTGGAGAAGGCTAAAAAGGAAATAAGCTGTCAATTATTCTAGGGACAAATCTGCCTCTATATGGGTCAAGAGTTGAAACATTTTGCCCAACTGGTGCGGCTCTGTGGTTGAGCCTCACCCCATGAACCAAGAGGTCACCGGTTCTATTCCTCACTAGGGCACATACCAAGGTTGAGGGCTTGATCCCCAGTGAGGGGACATGCAGGATGCAGCCAATTGATGTTTCTATCTTTATCCCTCTCCCTTCCTTTCTCTCTAAAATCAATTTAAAAAATTTTTTTAGCCGAAACCTGTTTGGCTCAGTGGTAGAGCATCAGCCTGCGGACTGAAAGGTCCCGGGTTCGATTCCGGTCAAGAGCATGTACCTTGGTTGCAGGCGCATACCCGGAGGGGTGTGTGCAAGAGGCAGCTGGTCAATGTTTCTCTCACATCGACGTTTCTAGCTCTCTATCTCTCTCCTTTCCTCTCTGTAAAAAAACAATAAAATATATTTTAAAAAAATTTTTTAAAGAAAGAGAGCAGCATTTGCTATAAAAAAAATTTTTTTAAGAGTTGAAACTTGCTTATATCTATGATAATGACTTTATTTTTATTTATTTACCAGAGGCCAGAAGCATGGATTCATGCACCGGTGGGGTCCCTCAGTCTGGTCTGCAGGTATCGGGCCAAAATCGGCAGTCCAACATCCCCCAGGAATGTAGTAGTGCACAAAATGGCAGGCGATGGGGACGAGCCCAAGCCCCGCCGGGCACTGCGCTGCTCCCACTCATCCTGGCCCTGCTGCGCCTTCCCCCTCCACT